GTCATAAATTTTGCTCTAAATGCAGAGAAACAAAATGAAAGACTTGGGCTCCTGAAATGAATCATGTCCATGTTCCAACTTAATTCTCATCCCGGAATAAAACACTAAACTGTGTTCTCTAAACTCATCGTTCACAATGCACAAGGAGGAGGGGAGGGGGGGTGGGGGTGCTGGACCATGGACCTCTAGTTCATCGGAGCACTAAGGTGAGTGATGAAGGGGACATCCTCAATCCAGCCTAAACCCTTCACTGACAGACATTTCCTTCTAAAAGTACACTCCTCCTTGGCTTGTAGTCACAGCGGTGCATCTCATGCACTTTGATAATAACTGACGAGACATCTCAGCACTTAACACATCAGTGGACTCGAGAACGACAATGCCCCCAAACTGGGAATGACATCATGGATGAGTTCAGAGGAGACAATAGATCTTTCTAAGCACACAGCGCCAGCTTCCCAAAACAGCCCCGGGCCAAGAACAGAGAGGTGTGCTGCATCACATTTCTCAAGTTCTGTTGCCGTCATGGGATCCAACGAGGAAAAAGAGCCTTTACGAGCGCTGATTCAGAACATGAACATTGTATAGTGCTGGTATGAAAGTGCTACTCAAGGACATTTTGACAGACAAACAGCTGTTGATGGATTCGCATCATTACTGTAAGATTGACCCTGTGATCTTTTTGGTCAGGGGTCTGTTTTGCTGAACAGGCTATCATGGTGAGAATCAGACCGGAGACAAAGGTTTCCTCATGAGTATCCATCAATAGTGTGTGTGAAGCAAAAAACTAAATGTACTTCAAGAAGCACCATCGACTATCTGATCACGATTGCAAAAACAGCTACAAAGGCCATTAATATTAAGCCAATTAGAACTCCAGCACGTGTCGGCTTTAAACAAGCCTCCACTTTAAACACAGGAGTTCAAGCATGAGGATTATCTGGTGGCCGACTTTAAAGTGCTGATTACTAAAACATCAAAACAATTCCATATTTCAAAAAGGTTTGAAAAGCAGAAATTTAAATATTAAATTACTTCTCTCAATAAAAACTACGTTCTGAATGTTCTGTTCCACACAACGTTCAAACAGAAAATCAATCAACCAAATCACAAAACCATGACATAGTGTTATATTATTGGCACAATGTACAATCGCTATTCAAATTACTGGTTTTGCAAAGAAACTTTAAATGCATCTTACACCGAACAAAGCATCTGGAAGTGTGGAGATATGACATATTGTCCTCACAATGCGTGAGGATCATCATCAGTGTTAAAAACTCTTTGGGTTCTTTGCACCTCTTTGGCCCATTGGCTTGGCTCGGCTCATCGTTTCCTGGCACCTTAACTCAAAGTTTCCGTAGCAAACCGCAGGAGCTGTCATCAAGTCTCAGCCCGTTTGGCACTTTAACCTCATGAACTGCGTCTCATTCCAGTCTGATTAGGTTGGTCCTAATTGTACTTATTGCACCTATGCATGGTGATTGATTGAAAGCTGTTTGTTTGGCAACATAGTCTATTCTAGTGTCGATTGGATGTCTTCCGTTGCCCCTTTTCACAGGACTTACTAGCTGATTTCAGGATGCAAAGAATAAACACACAACCCCTATTTGTGTGTTGACTCCTATATACACATTACAACACTGCACATATACTAAAAACACTCGTACTTCAAGTCTCCTGATGAAATACTTTGTGTAGACTGAAACACTGAATGAGGATTAATCCCCTAGTGACATGGATCCGTCTGGTGATTTGTCTGTCGAGTACAATGATATCACTGGAATGATATCAGCCATTGACATGTAGATGATATCACCCTCCCTTTCAGGCTGGTCACAATGGAACTTTCTGTTATTCACAGCCCCCTAAACATGCCAAGACTTGGACAGGAGGAGGTGGGGATCCAGGGTTACAGAGAAAGAGACAAAGCAGAACCAACAGAGAGGAGACGCAGAACTAGTTGAGACAAGCTCTGGAAGAAAAAAAAGGACATCTTGCCAAGAAGAACTATTTACAAATGTATGACACACGATTAAATCCAGCATTAAGAAGATCATCGTCTGGCAAATAAATAGCCAAAATCATACCAATGAAGCAGTCAGATAACCTCATTGGGTTGCTGTTCATGCACACAGCATGTGGCTATGTGACACAAATCAATCATCCTCATCAAAGGGGCCAGTCGGGCTCTTGTGAAGATCACAGGAGCTTAAACACCGTCATTAGTGACTGCATTAGTGACAAGCTGGTGAGAGGAAGCGGCAGACACAGGAAGTAATGAGTGCAGGTGTGAGCGCTTCTTCAATGCGTTGGCTTTTACAGACGGGGCCCTTTGTTGCCATTTGTCTGAGCTCGGCTCCCATGGTGACACATTTAAGAAGATTTAAATTAAAAGTGGATGATAGGCGAAATGTGCTGCGATTGGTCGGCCATGGCTGCTCCTGTTCTCTGAATGCTGGTGGAGACAGTTAATAGCGAAGAAAACAGGAAGCAAGTTGAAGATGAAGTTGAAGTTATCTTTCCTTTCAGCAACACTAAATGAATCAACATGTTCTCAATCTAGCAAAGCCGTTTCAGAGCAAACCCTTCTGTGGGTGAAAGAACATGAACATGATTACTTCTTTGTGATTGCACGGAAATAGATGCTCGGAAACATTTTGTGATCTAACTTGCAAAGCCATTTACTGTGCTGCAAACCATCCCATCTCTGCTATGTATCGCAACAGGTGTGAAGAACTTCTTAAGACAACAAATGTCTGACACAGCCGTTTACTATGACGGTGGTGCTATGCTAAGCTACAGGGTGAAATCCTACGCTGAACTGCAGTTTCTACTCCGGATGCAACAGTGACAGGACCACCAGACCACGTTCACAGAGAGGCATAAATCTGGTTTTCAACAGGACTCTTAAGGGTGTGTGTGTGTGTGTGTGTGGTTAGCAAATCCACAGCAGAGTTCAAATTATCGTCAACTGCCATAACAAACCAGATTTAAGAGTAACTGCTGTGGGTTATTAAAATCATGCCAAATACACGCAGTTTAAACAGGCCCTAAAATAGCACGATGAAGTCTCACGATTTGCCTCTGCAAAGACCCGTTAATGTTATCTGGTTGTTTTTTACAGTATATGTTTCAGTATATGTAAGATGGGCAGCCGTTGTTTAAGAATGGCACACCTGTAGAAGGTCAGAAGATAGAGATGTGCCTTTGCAATCAAGAATTTAATATTGCACTTATAGGTCTTTGACGCAAACAGTTACGATTACAAACTTAAAAAGGAACAAACGAGAGGACAAAGATGAAGGATGTATGACTGAAGAAGTGAACTCAGTCCACAGCGAGGACGCCGGCTGCAGTTTATTTGCACGTTTTAATCCCGACGATAAATGACAAACAGGAGACCCGTCGTTATAACCTCTCGCCTCGAGTCCTGACACCATATATGACACAGCATGTGAATAAATAAATTGAATAAGAAGGCGTCAAACATTAACCGATGCTAATGCTGACTGAAGCTTTGTGTTGTTCCACACATCCAGGATCCAGTAACCTGTCCCTGGTTCCCTGAGGTGACCAGGTGTGGATGGGTAATGAAACCAGTCCCCGCTGGGTTAGGGTGACAAAAGAACCACACAGGAGAGGTATCAGTTCACTGCCGTCTTCTGAGCTCTTGGTCCTGATCTGCCTCAGAGATTCTAGGTCAGTGGTGGCTTTTTAAAGACTTGATATGGGCCTCCAAGGAGTTTGGTGCTGCTAAATAGGTCTGTAATGGCTGCCGACACTCTTCAAGAGGATCTGTCATTTTCAATACTAATCTGAGATGTAGTACACTTTGATTAGTTCAAACGCAGTATGGCAAATATCTACACATGAAAACACATCAGGTCAGAAAGATGACCAGAGTTGAAAAAATACTAGTCAAACAATAGACGTATCAAAAAAACTCTTTATATATAGAAATGTTGTAATTGTCTTCTTGGTGGTACAGAGACATGCATTAAATAAAGAACTATAAATGATGGGTGGGAAACGTTTGGCCAATACAAGTGCAGAGTGGGAGCTATTGACAAAGATATAATGAACATGCAGGGATTCAACAGTTTAGATGCTGCAACCCACAGCCCCATACTCCTCGTCCACGCCCCTGCTACACTGAACCGTTCACTTCGTGCCACAGCCGAGCTTCAGATCACTTTGTGAAGCCTTTATGTAAACCTGCAGAGCTGTGACTGCATTCCACCGACGTGCAACAGATAACCGGCCGGTCGCGAGGACAGCTCGCTGCAGGATGACACAGTCAGACGCCATGGAGGGCAGGCAAGTGTCGTGATTGAAAATGCTCCCAGAACAAAACCTCGTTTGTGTGATTAGTCTTCGCCAGGCTGGGCTCTCAATGAGGCAAAAAAAAAAAAAAAAATCCATTCCACATGATGCATTCTTTGTTTTCGGCCAAACACGCACCAGGCCCCACAGCTACTGTACAATGAGCTCCACCAAGAACAACTGAACGCCTGCTGCAACATTCAGGAGGGTCGAGTACAACTATGTGCAGTATCATACATTACTGTAGTAAGGCTCTATCTGTAGAGATCAAGCATGACGGTTTCTATTTTGAGGGTTTTAATGTAGTTTTCATTGGGATTCAGTCACAAATTATTATAGGAATGTGATATTGCAGAAGACTAAAATACCAATAAATTAAATATATTCACGAAAAATGCATTTCTGAGCAAGAAGCACACTTTAACCAAACAAACTTATAAACAAACAAACAAATATCTTCTCAGAAATAAGTCATATAACTGCAGTTTGGGTCACCTTTCAACAGGTGACGAGGCAATAAATTCAAACTGCAGATTATAGGAGAAGGCGCTGCAGATACCGGCTGCAAAACCAGTAACCAGGGCCACGCGACAATACAACAAAACACCTGCGCGAGAAGGGAAGCGAAGTTAAAACAGCATTCATAACTCTGTTAAGTGCTCCGCGTGACTCACCTCTATCCATTCCTGCGCCTCCTGAAACGCGGAGTCAGCGGCCGACTCCTCGGTCACAGGGTGATGCTGATGAGACTGTCCGATGTCTGCAACCGGACTGGCCATTGGCGAAGAAGCTCTGCTCTCCAAGTATTAAAGCTTGTAAAAAAAATAATAAAAATGTATGAAAAGCAGCTCAGTGCTGCGTTATTCCACCGAAAAATAGACGTGAATTATGTCGGTCGGTTGTGTTGCAGCAGCAGCACCGGCGAGGCGAACGAACCAGTTGCTGCTCCACAGTGTCGCTCCTGTTGGGAGTCTGTAGGCAGAACAACCAGCATCAAGTCAGCCAGAGTCACCCATATCGCTTTCGGTTAGACCATTCAAAATAAAAGCTGAGGGACATACTTTCACAATAGTGGGGATTCAAATATAACACAATAAATATTTAGGGAATTAATGCAGTAACAAGAAACCCTTGCTGTCACACACATTAAAATAATTTCAGCATCTAACGTAACGTCAGGCCGTCTAACCAATTGTCATCTTATTACTTATAATATTTACATTGTGTCATATTACTTAAAGTGCGTGTATGTTGCTTAAAGATAAAGATATCAGTTAACCTACCGCTGGTTTTGAAGACATTTGCAGATTCTTCAAAGACTCATTTATTCAACTGAAATAAAAATGCTTCCACTCTCTACTGTTGCAACTCTCAAAACTAAAGGCCATGGAAACCGGAAGTGAATGTCTTTTTTTGGCGCTAAAAAAATGAACAAATCAACAAGACAGGTGACCGGAAATTGCTTAGGACATTATTAACTCATTGTTAAATAAAAAATAAACACTAGAAAATACTATTAATATCTATTACTATTTCTTTGTTTTATAATCTAAACTAATTTCATTATTCACAAATTGTCAGTGTTATTACTGCTCATTGGCATCCACTCCACCAGCCATTTGTTTAGGCTCTTATTTTGGTTGCAAAACCGCCTTACTTCCGGTATTAATCTAGCTGCAGCTGGCTAACTTGATGCATCCGGACCGACAGGACTTGCACACCGCAGTATGATCCGCTCCAATGGCCAGAAATACACAAAGCAGCGCGACGCCACCACCAGCCAATGAGGGCAGCAACACACTGGGGATCTCACACCCATTTCAACTATATGGGGCAACTTTGAGAGCATTAATTTCACTGATATAGAGCAAAGGCACCAAAAAGCAAAGAGCCGACTCATAACTCCAGTCATTGATCATTATGAGGCAATTAACACAGATACTATTTAGAATTTTTATTTTTGTTCATTATCTCTTTTTCTATGAATTGTTTTAATCATAACAAATAAATCTAACTACATTTTGCAAGTAAAAAGGTTCACAGGTTTCCCTCGACCAGGCCGATAAACAAAAAGTTTAATAGGCAGACCTAATGAAACAGTGGAAATGGCTAAGGTGGGAAAACTTTTCTAATTAGCCCCATTTATTTAGTTTCAAATACAGCCCCTAAACCTGAATTACAAAATGTCTTGGATGGTAAACTTGCAGGGAACTTGCACTTGAAGCCCAGGGAACATTTATTTAAAATATGTAATCGGCAATTAAAATTTGATATCTCCCCTGCTGAAAACATGGTCAATTGTGTTTGCTGAAGTGCACAGCCAAGCCAGATACTGTTGATTAAAATCAAGTGTTTTGCCCCCTGTGGTCTCCTTAAGTCTTTATAAAGATATTTCTGACAGTATTTAATGTAAAGTATATGCCCTCTGTGGTCAATGAGATTATACAAAAACAGCTTCCATAATAAATCAAGACAATCAGGGATGTTTCTCAAAAGGAGAGGCCACACACAAACAATTTCAACATGTCTTAAGCACAATACAAACATTAAAAGCCATTAGTTTATGAAACTGTATCAGAGGTTTGATGACCACCAATATGCACTTATCCAGGTCCTGCGGAAAACAGACGTGTGTCCACGGGCCTGGTGATATTCTCACATATCTGCTGACCTCTTGTGGAATAATGCAGCAGTACTGTAAAGTAGGAGGGGGAGCTTCAGGCAGGCATATGTGTTCATTTGTAATGATTCACTCGCCACTCCTCTCTCCTGTTCCTCAGGCTTCGATTTCCTGGATACCAAAAACAGTTCAGTGGATTTCTTTCATGTAATCTTTGTGCCACAATATATCTGTTCAGGAGACAATCATGGTCCGTTTTTCAGGAGGCTGACGGTTTATTTTAAGCTGCTCACCTTCTTGACTTCCAAGAGTGACGGCCCCATCTGTGTTTGACAGGTAACACTCTCAACCTGGACGGACACCAGGGCAGTGCGGTAAGTATTACACCTCTACTGCAAATATGTCATTTCTTCTGTCTCAGGAAATACAAAGAAACATCTTTGTTGGAATTTTTCATTTTTTTTGTTAAAAATTTTCCAGAATCCACATTTTTCCAATGTTTGAACATACAAATTTAACACAATGTTATTGTATATTCAGTCTTTTTAAAAATGTATTCCAAGTACCTATGAATCAAAGATAGTGCATCTATTAAAGATGAATAATTAGTTTTGCAAAAGAGTGAACTTAACATTATTTATATGTGTCCCTTAATCTTTGCAGACAGGATTTATCTTTCTGCTTTTTAGATTTTTGAACAGTTCCACTGTGTCATTTGGTTTATTGTCTTCAGGCCCGGTACAATGATATATATTTATGGAACCACAATGATATTGTTTTTAACATGCAAAGGGGAATGCAGTTAGTTAATTTACTGTTAAATGCCCACCATACCACATCACTTTATGTGTTTACTCTTTGAGACCCAACAGTCAGAATCCTGCTGTGGTGTATTTACTGTATTGAGAGTTGATTGTTGGACTCTCAAAAGATGGTTGAGAGCTTTCTTTTTTCCAAGAGCAGATTTATTCAGTGAAAGCACTTCCTGTGGTATTTGATTGTAAGATAAACAAGCAGGCATTCTGCCTCCTGTGACTTATATTTTTTCTACATTGTAATGAGTTAAGAGTTGAAACACTTTAACAGGCTCCTGCCAACAGAAATACCATAACGTGTCTGCAGGGGGTGCCAGAGCTCAGTTATTTTGTACTGGTTGCCAGTTAAGACTTAGAAATAATTAAATTAATATATTGCTTCATGCACTCCCTAATGCTATTTATTATTCCTGTTAAGTGATGTGTAAGGTTGAGTATAAAACCGGCATCTTGACAATTCTGTACCACCAATAACGGTAATAACGACTAGTCATAATATGGAGAAACACACATACTGTATGTCACAGTGTTTCCTGCAGTCATAATGTCCCCACAATGCTATTTTAGACTAAAGAAGAATCAAGTGTGACACAGTGAACATGCCAACATAGCAAACCTTCTCTCCTCTCTTTAGGTTATCTTTTTAACCAAAATAGAATCATAAAATACCTCGTAATTTGTGTCAAACAGCTGCTAACCGCTGCCTGAAAAGACAAATCAGAGCTGGGATTTATTCAAAACCGGAACAGAGAAGCAGAAATCAGAACTAGAAATGTGACACTTTTCTTGAATCTCATTTCTCGTCCTCTCAGTCACACTCCTGCCTTCCCTCTTTACACCTGCAGGTTTTCACGGGTCTTCCCGTCTCCTTCACATCCTATAAAATGTGGCTCATGGTCGCTTCTGTCCCGCTGCTCCCCGCCATCATCATGGCATCCGCTCGTTATCGTGTCAAAGTTGCCTCGCTGTGCCATCGAGCTCTGGCCTGGACGCTGAGGCTGCTGCGAGGGAGAGTGTGCGTGAGGAGCACCCACGCCTTTGTGTTCTCCGAATGCACCCACGGCAAAGCCGACAGCGTCCTGGAGACCTTCAACCTGTACGCCGACACACACCTGTCCCTCTGCATCAGCCCACAGACGGGTCAGTATGCACAATCACTTTAGTGCATTCAGTTACAAGGATTCAGTAAGAGGATTTTATGTGAAAATCTCACTTTATGTGAAATGAACACTGTGGTTTTTGTATTTCACTCACTTAATTCTCTTAGAATAATATTTTACATCTAACTGCGTATCTATCAGCCATAAGTTCCTCACATCACATTAATAAGACACCATGGTTTTTACTATAACTGTATTTGACCTATTTGATTGAAAAAAAATAGCTTTCTGTTTGGAAATCCATGTCCACAGTGTAACGAATCGTGCTCTACGTTGAAATAAAAGAACAAGTGTCAGATCAATAAGCAGTCACAGATATGAAAAGGATCAAGTCGTCATCAAGCCGATGAAGGAATCAGCATCACCTGTCGCCTCTCCCAGGTGAAGCACTGGATGAAGCGGTGAGGCGTGTCCGTCCCTCCCAGGTGTTGGAGCTCGGGATGCACTGTGGCTACAGTTCTGTCCGCATGCTGCGTCTGCTGCCCTCTGCTGGCAGACTGGTCACAGTGGAGCTGGACCCACTCACAGCTGAGCTAGGGGAGGAAATCATACTGGTGGCTGGCTTCAAACACTCCCAGGTACGCCCAGGGAAGGCTGCACTTAAATAGAAGATAAATTGGCAAACATTCTGTTTCCTTGAAAGGAAAGCTAAATTTACCAGAAGGATTCTAACCCCTCTTCAGTTCCAGGTGTTGACATCCAGCTCAGCGGAGGCCATCCCGTCTTTGCATTCAATCCTTCAGCTCAATCAAGGGACCAGCGAGGGGCTCAATCTGGTGCTAATGGACCATGACCCCGAGCAGTACCTCCCAGACCTGCTGGCTCTGGAGAAAGAGCAGCTCCTCTGCCCCTCTGGCTGCTCCGTCCTCCTGATCTACAGGAACCAAAGACACGGAGATCGCAGAGAAGTCCTGGGTCACATCGGAGCGAGGCCCGACCGCTACATCGTCAAGTCAGAGCTTCAGTGTATGACGGAGATCTTCTACCAAAAGAAAAGCACAAGTTGAGAAGTGAGAACAAAGTCTAAAGATGTAGGTGTGTGCTTTCAGGTTTTGTGTGGACTGTATCAACCAATAGTATTAAATACTTCACCTTCTCTTGTATTACTGTGGGTCAAAGTACTGCAGGATAAAAAACACATGCTGAATAAATTATTTTCAACAAAACTGTTTTTTCTTTCCATAAATTGTTAAGTTATATGTATTACAACATCAGTATGTAAAGCAAAGTATTCATTCTATATATTACCCATCATTTTAAATATCTGATTTACAGCCGAAAAGGAATATTAATATTAATATTACTACGTATGTTTCATTTTTTCGGTTGCCTCATCATATATGGCCCCCAAACGACAAAGTAGATCAGATGATGCTTTTAGTTCCACAGCGGGGACATGTTCAGTGTTACAGCAGCACAGGGGAGAGCGCAATAACAAGAAACCTCAATAATAACAACAAGATGTAGTAAATAAGTAAACAGTTAAAAGCAAAATATAATAATAAGTAAGACTGAACCACTCAATATACATTATTGCATAATGAGGTATTGATATTGCAGAGTTTAATATACATTGGTAATGCACATGTCAGATTTGGTATTTGCAATTACACATAATGATTCCAACAACACACACAGGTAGAGGAGATACAAAATACTTCGTCCTTTTCTTTTTAATATTAACAAACAACAAAGCTGCTCACACAATCAGCTCTCCTCACAACAAAGGAAACAAAGAAAACATGATGTAGAGCACAGAGACACCACTTGATGGCGCTCTCTGCTTTTTAAAAGAAGAGGAACTCGGGCATTGATGTGGGTTTAACAACACAAGCCTTTAAAGGGACCCATTTTAAAAACGCACGTTATCCCTGCAGGACACATCAGTTGTAAACCTCAGGAAACGAAACCTTTGAATATGTGACGTAAACACACTTAATGTGTTGTGATTCATTCATGACGAGGACGATGATCCACATCAGACTTGTTTTGATGCACCCTCCCTCTGGTGCATGTTGAGATATTTATTTGTCAGACCACAATGTCAATGTTTACAATTCAAAATAAAGCATTATTCAACAAATTGCTCCCAGTGGTTTTATTCCCCCTCTTTTTGTTTTTCTTTACAAACATCAGCCCGCACTAACCGGTCATGCAGTGGAAGATGCGGTGCTCCAGCATGCGGTGCCTCTCAGATGAGGAGAATCACTGTTGTCCTGTGGGTAGAACTCAGATGGAGTTTTATGAAAGTGCCTCTAATGACACTGCCGAGGCTTTCAAAGCTGCAGGAAGGCCATTATGTGGTTTAGAGACAATTTAGTGCAGCATTTAAATAAATAATATTGGTGCAAAAACACAATTTAATTAAATGCAATATTTCCAAGAGCCTAGGGGTGGGTTTCGACTCGAGGTGATAATTGTTACACAACAGCGCAATGAAAGTAAAATTATACAAACTTAGAGAGCTCGCTGCAGTTAAAGAGAGACAGGGGAAGTGGTGTAAATTGTCAGCTACTATAAATTAGAGATGGAGATTAGGTAATACATGGTCAGAGATGAGGGCCAGTTAAACTGTTCACTGTGAACGTCTCCACAGAGGAACACGGGTAATGGAGCTGGGTGAGTTTGACGAGCTGCATGAATACTTTATAATCTCATGCGTGGATCATTATTCGCACACAGCAGGAGAAGCGACGATTCTATTTGCTGAACATAGAAAATGAAACAGGAAAGTGTTACTGTCTGCTCCCCAGCCGGTAATACGACTTCTGTTATTGAGATCTGCAGAAGCATAAACAACCAACTGATTAGTATACGACGTCTCATAATCAGCATCAGAATGTAAGAGCTTTAATTCCAAATTAAGACGTGTAACATTTGGGGAAAAGGTGACGCCCACTCTGAGGAAGTGATTTCCTGCATGAAAGTCAAAGTACTGAATATTATTATCGCTAATTAGCAATCTGGAGAATTTTGCTTGGAAAATAGCAGCATTCAGGATGGCTGTAATCATCTGTGAGGATTCAGTTTTTTCATTCACTAAAAGGAGTTTTGCAATTTGGGTTTTGTAATGAAAGAACTCGTGTCTTGATGACAACAAAGATTCAAGACTTTGGATTCTTTTTATCTGGCACAGCTTGTTGTCTTTGTAAATATTTACTCCAAGTTTCTGAATCAGCATATGCATACACCAGTTTTGAATTATGCATTGATATTTCCATTTAATAAAGAAAAACAACATGGTCTAAATGAATCAGTAATTTCACTCAACTTTTCTTTCTTTTCCCCCGAATCCGATTTGCACAAGTGAAAATAAAAGCAGCAACACTTTTTGGTTTGCATGATTTACACTCATCCCTTGTCCATCGATTCCCCACCAGGCTCATGTACACATATGTTTATGTACATCTATATACAGTATCTGTTTAGAAGTTTGTATTTGGTTTACCTCTCATGCTATTTCTCATGCTTACTGGTGGTCTCAAGGTGGGTGGTTGGGGGCAAAACTGTCCTCTAGGGCCCCTTACCATTGATAAAACTTGACGAAGTACCCTCCAGGGTGCCTATCAGTGGAGAAAACATGATGACGTGTCCTCTGCGTTGCTCTTCCAGTGGAGGAAATGTGACGATATGCTCTCTACGTTGCTCTTCCAGTGGAGAAAATGTGAAGAAGTATTCTCTAGTTTGCTCTTCCAGTGGAGAATATGTGAAGAAGTGCTCTCTAGCTAGGGTGCCCTTCCAGTAGAAAAAACATGATGAAGTACCCTCTACGTTGCTCTTCCAGTAGAGAAAACATGATGAAGTGCCCTCTACGTTACCCTTCCAGTGGAGAAAACTTGAGGAAATGCTCTCTAGTTTGCTGTTCCAGTGGAGAAAATGTGAAGAAGTGCCCTCTTGGGTGGCCTTAAAATGAAGAAAACATGATGCCATAGGCTGCCACACATGCTAACATGCGTGCTGGTGCCCCACTGTGTGCAGCTGCTGCTTTTTGAAAATTATTTTTCACCCCTGCCCTTCAGACAGCCTGAGATTGCCACTGCTCACATGTTGACGTTTACATATTTGTCTGTATTTGCCTTCAACAAAGCCAATACACTAAGAGATGAATTTTGGATACTGGCAGAATTACAATAGTTTTAGCAGTATGCAGCATGTCCCAAAATAGCCAGTGTGTGGATGTAATTACACAAAGCAGACCAACCGTAATGATTGGTCTGCAGCTTCCACTGCCCTCTCCGCCTAGAGAGTCTCCCAACTTCCCACAGCACAAGTGTCAGAGCCAGGACGTGGTCAATGTCTCAGCTGTCAGAGATGATTTAACATTTCCTTGCGCTCTTTTCAGAGTACCACCAGTGTACACAGTGATGTACAATCAAGTGTAAACACCATGCTCTATGACCACCCCAACCTTCGCCTCTTCCTCCAATTTCCCTAAAAATTCCAATTTTAATGGGTTCAATTTCTGGGTTCCTCCATCAAGCTTTGAACTGCTCTCTGTGCTACGGAGGCTGGAGAGCTGATGTAAACACAGCTTTCAATTATAAATCAAACTCTAAAAAGAGCTCCGCTCCGCTGCCCTCGGGCCCTCTGAACAAAGGCCCGGCCTTCATACCCAAACACCCGACTTTGCACTGCTGGGAACTTATATGGCCAGCTATTCACCAGGATACATTCACAACAGACAGAAACCTCTTCAGTGGCTGTGAGCGTCAAAGTTATGCAGAAAATGTTGTGCTATGTTTTTTTGTATGTGCTGGCTGTTCTACCGTCTATGACTCTATATCCTTAGATGATGTTTGACAGTATGAGCAGTTTTGCTGGATTTTGGTCACATGTATATTTGTGTTGGTTTACACAATTTCATCAACTTTACATATTGAGATAATCATAAATACGATATTTTGTCCATTGTTTATCAACGTAGTAAGATTTCTTGCTAAATACTGTGAGAAGAACAAAATAATAACCTCCCCACCCTTCTGGTTATAGGAGTCAAGTCCCGGAAACGATGCTGATGAGAACGGTGAGAGTGAAGCAGAACAGTGAAGTTGCGGGCCAGAAAATCAAACCAACTAGTTCAAAGACAGTGAAACGCCCCATAATGCTGAGTGGAGCTGTCAGGTAATCATAAGAAACATTTGAACAACCAGCTGGTGCTGTCATCTTGTAGAGACAGTTTGAGGGGATACACTTCATAAAGTCACTTAACCCAAAGAAAACTTACAGGGGCAAATAATGTGAAGCTCCTTTACCCAGTCACAGTTGAAAAAGTGTGAAATAAACATATTTTTTATTATTATTTTGTAATCAGTGGAAACAAACGCTATCTGTGAGGAGCTCGACTGTGTCACAACATGTTAGTCTTAACTGAGTTGCCGACTGAATGCAACTGAATTGGCCTCGACTGCACCGCTACAATCTCTTATTAGTTATGAAAATTTGGTGGTTGGGAAAGTTTTTATCAGCGTGTTTAATTGCAGCATAAACAACCTTTTTTTTTTTTTACTGCAAAGTCATTTTAAATTCTCACCATGCGTCTTCTCAGGCAGTGACGGAACAAAGCCTTCCCCTCTGCGTCTGGTTCATCAACTAGAGTGGGTTGAGTCAAAGGAGAAAGGAGACACTTGATGGCCTCTCCAGAGACCAAGGGACTTCTATATTTGGTACACTGTGATAGGTTGTGATTACCCCCCCCCCCCCCCACCCACCACCACCACCACCACCTTTTTCAGGAGTGAGGACACAGCTTTATTTTTAAACTGTCTGTAGAGTTGTTTATAAGAGAGCTATAGGCTTGTACCTACCTGTATGATCTATATATATCTCTCTCTCTCTACACCTCCTTATATATGTACATATGTACTACATATATACATATATATATATATATATATACATATATATATATATATATATATATATATATATATATATATATATATATATATATATATATATATATATATATATATATATATATATATATATATATATATATATATACATATATATATATATATATATATATATATATACATATACATATATATATACATATACATATATATATACATATATATACATAGACATATATATACATATATATACATATACATACTGTATATGTATAGCCAGGATTTTTTTAAATATTATTTT